GAAAGAATAATTCGCTTTTTCACCAAAAAAAAAAAAAGAATAATTCGCCTTGTGCTTGCCGTGTTGACTGTGGAACTTAACAATTATTGAAGAACAGGAGATGATGAAAGATAATTATATATATTATTATGGTTCTTTCAAGGGACATGTGCGCCTGACAATATAAATATATATATATGAATTGAATGAATGCGGTTGAAATTAAAAAATTATGTTTAAACATATATTATAAATAAAACATTAAAAAATAAGTAAGATATCATCGTTGTAATAAGTATTAGAATACTCGATCTCGCAGCCCTTAAACAAAAGATTCCTAAAAATACACATTAAATATTTGTTTATTTAACCCAATTAATAAAAAAATTATTTTAAATATACTAGAGTTGATCTAAGAACTTTTGAGCGGCTTACTTTAATAAATTATTTATTACTTATTAATATTTTTTAGCCTATTTCTTTTTTAAATCCAACTATTAACTTTTAAATTTGTTTCACTTCCGCCCACTCCACACAATTCTGATAATTCCATTATCAAAATTCTACGTATGATGCCACGTTTCCATGTAAGCAGACATGTGGTAGGGACAGATTTCCCGCCTCATTGTTTCCCTTTAATTACTCTTTTGGCTAGCGTTTTCCTTTAATTAATTAAGGAGGAAAAGAAGGTCTAGATGTTTTGATACAAAAAAAATATTAAAATATTTAATTATAACTATTAAATAAATAAAATATATTATAAATCATAATTTTATCAAATATATTGTGTGATTTTTATTAGATATTTTGATATTTTTAATATTAAAATATTTTAATTTTTTATTTTCTCTTAATTAAAATTAAAATCAATTACTAAAAAAATAATAAAAATAAAAAATAAGCATTTTAACTGGGCTGTAGTCGAACATGGGATACAGGTAAAATAAAATAAAATGGCAGCTTGGCTTGTCTGGAAAAATATTATGGGATTTGAAAATGATTTACACACACTTAACAAATTTTTGAATATATTTTTAGTTCAATTTATTAAAAATATAATATAAATTCAGTCAATTCAATTAATTTTTATATTTTGTATATTTGATTATATCTTTAAATTTATTTATTTTTAATTTT